AACACTCTGAGCTTCACAGCCTCTAAGAACTGCTATCTGATGGCAGTGGGAGTTTTTTTTTAGTAAATATTACATCCTTGAAAACCTTTGCAATTTGGAAATTTTGATATTAAGATAGTGATTTTGATATTTTTCATTCAACTCTAAAGCAAAATTTTCCAAGTGAATCTTTTTTTTTAGCTGCATACTGGAAAAATGATCTAGAAATAAGTAAAAATGTCTTACCGTAAATTAAGTGCATTTACCCTTATTTTGAGCAGGTAAATGAGATAGTTTGCCAATGGGATGTGTATTTTCACTCTTAGTATAAGATAATTAGATAATATGCACTGGAAAAAAAGACAACGCAATTTTTTTTTCTTATTTTAAATGTAAATTGTCTCATTCCATTGGCAAAATGTCTAATTTTCCTCCTCAATTCAAGAAAAAAATGCAATTATTTTACATTTTTTTGCAGTGCACTTCCTCCTTCCACCTAACTTGCCATTTATGCCTTAAGTAAAGCAGTATAACAGTCAGCATTTTTAGAAAGACTTTTCATCTTTTTTGAAAGAATCTGTCATATTAACTTTTACTTTTGCTCAGAAAAATGTGTGAATAACAAATAATAATAGGACTCCTTAATGTCGTAGAGAAATCATTTAAATTTCAAATAATTTGGGCTTAAACATGTATGTAAGTTTAATCTTTATCAGACGGCATTGTCCCAAAAATTTCTATAAAAAAAAAAAATAATTTTCTCGATTTATTGGAACGTAATTTTCTCACTCTTTCTTCAGCTTTAAGCCACAATCGTCAAACTGAACAGAAATAAACCTTAAAAAAATGTAATATCTGAGCTTCACTGTGTAATAAAACCACTTTTGATGACGTTCTAATTTAAAGACCTTTAAGTCCTTCCTAAAGTTGCTGTTAGATGTTAAAAGGAACTAAAAGTTCTGCCATGACAGAACCACAGAGCTGAAGTTTAGCTGGAACAGGAAGGTTTTCTGCAGATGCAGCAGATCCTGGACTAGTTTAACATCTGTTCTTTTTTTCAAAGAAATTGACATCCTAGATCATTACAAGCAAATTTATTTTTAACTTTAATGTAGAGAAAAAAAATGTCGGCATCATTGATGATTGAGGTCTAAACAGAGCCTCATTGATCAGGTAATTCAGTTAGATCCACGTTTCTGCCTCCTAGACATTGTTGCTATGAGCTGAATGATTTTAAAACATATTTATATTCTCGCTGCTCTTTCAAATCCATTCCCTTCCCTCCATCTTTGTTTAGGAAATGATATAAAGTATTAAATGAATCCAGCTTGAATAATAAAACGTGGAATAAAAGGTCGTCATTCTGATCTGTGAGACCAGCAGCCTTTCAGTGAATCTCACGCCGACTTCGTGTTAATCCATTATTTCGACGTGTTTGAAAAGCACAGCAGCATATACTCCAGCTCTTTCACCTGGTGCTGTTTTTTTTAAACCACTTAGAGATCAGACTGATTGCTTCATTGAAAACTAATTGCAGGTTCAGATAAAATATCTCTGCTTTAGGATTTCACCAAACAGACGCTATATTTGACATTCTTCTTTAGATGGAACTACAGAGCCAGCGAGGTTGATTGGGAAATCATGTCAAGGTAACATTTAGCCTTCAGCAATGAAAGCATAGAAAGCGCATTTAAAACTGTTCATATTTAAATAAGATGCACTGAATACTTGGAGTTCAGCAACTGGTGAGTGCATAGAATTAAAATAACTTATTGTTATGAACTGTATTCTTACAGTTAAAAAACTACAAAAAGGTCGTCTTTGCAGATGGAGACCCTAATTACTTCTGGTGCTGATGTTAGGAGGGTAAGCCCCCCCTCTCTGCAGGGCTAAAGACAGAGGGAGAGATGATGCTCTTAACGTTTGCATCAAAAAACAAATTAAAACCTCCACCAAACAAAGTTTAGATAAAAAAGGGAGAGATTTATTTAAATAACACTCATCATTATAGATACCGGCTGCCTGAAATAACTCAATCTTTGCTGGTTACATTTAATGAATTAAATGTTGACCTGCAGCTGATTTAGCATCAGCTTCACACTGAGAAGACGTCACTAAATAATCTGCACAACTAAAACTTCAGCAGGTCCTTTGGTAAAAGCTTAGAATGACGAGCATTTCCTAATATAATGTACATTTAATTGGATTTAAAGGAATTCAAAAATTAAGTGTGGCTACTTCAGTTTTTACACTGAAACATTATTTTATTGTGTATGTTAAAGAAATGAAGCTGAACCAGACAGGCTGCAAAAGAAGCAAATGCAAATTCTTGCCTGCATTTATTAAGTTGAAAAAGCATATTTCCCTTCAAGGTGTGAAGATGACAGTCATTATCACTGAACATGCAAAGCAGACGGTTTAGAGTCGTCGTTTGGCCGTGCAACAAATGACTGGATTTAATCTACTGCAAGAAAATGCATGAAAAAATAAGAAAATATGGAAAAGACTGACTGATCTGACCTGTTCAGCTGTAAAATAAATGCCTAAATGTCAGAAAACTGGTAAAACAGCAGCTGCAGAATTTGAATCTATGATTTCATTGTTTAGTTTAAAGGATATTTCCATGGAAAATAAGAAATTTGAGTGAAAATGTTGATAAAATGTAAGCTTGTCTTTTCTTAGTTAGCAGAATACATATCCAGATGTATGTAGGTGGTTTATGTCCTTGTTAATCCCAGGCTTTAGTTTTTTTTTATTATTATCGGAATATTTTATACACGTGGGAGTATCTTCTTGTGATTTACTGTTTAAGAAAATCTGTATTATCTTTATACTCTTATCAGTAAAATTGGAGGATTCATTAAAAATCAGAAGCAGTTGCTTTACTTGACCACTAGATGGAGCACTAAGACAGTTGGAAGTCTTAAAGCTCCTTTTTTTTTTTAGATAAATGGGATCATTTTTTATACTTTGGTCCACATGTTTTATTCATGAACTCTAAGACAGAGCTATATCCTCTGTGGGATGTCTGATAATTTATTGAAATAAAACCTGGAATAACTGACTCTCCCCTTTATTTCCTTCAGTGCTTGAAGCCGCTGCAGCTAGAAAATGGAAAAGCCTTTTTTTTCCTTCTCTGTGCTTCCAGTAAATCTTGTTTTATTCGTGTTTATAACATGTTTTTATTTTTGATTACTTCTTTCCCCCATCAGGAAACAGAAATCTCACCGGGAAAGTCACTTTTTGTTTTGTTTTTTTTAACAATTATGGATCAGATTTGAATCACTAACATGGATGATTAAATGCAGGACAAAAGGTGAATTTGAGAAGTTTTATGTAAAAATTTTACGATGTTGCAACAACATACATTTTATTGACTTTTCCTGGTTTTTCATGTTAAATAAACCAACACACAGGGCATGTGGTTAAAGAACTAAGCTTATAGATATGGTTTCAGTTAGTATTCAACCCCTTTATTCTAATGCACCTAAATAAAATCGTGTGAAACCAGCTGCCTCAGAGGTCACCCAACAGAGCTTATCTAATCTCAGTAAAAATAATAACAGCTGCACTTTTAGATTTAACCCAGCAGACAGGTGAGGGGGAGAACTTTAAAAACAACACTCCAACCTTTGACATCTCCCAGAGCTGTAAGATCCATCGTTTGAACTTGACCAATCAGATAGCTGATCAGAAAGAGTCCTGTGGT